ATGTGTGTATATATATATATATAATATATATGTGTGTGTGTGTATAATATATGTGTGTGTGTGTGTGTGTACATATGTATATATACATATGTTGTTTGTTATGTGCCGTCGAGTCAGCCCCAACTCATAGGGACCCCTCCTTGGGTTTCCGAGGTGGTATCACTACAGAAGTAGATTGCCCAATACGTATGTATATGTACTTCCGTAGTGATACTGCCTTGGAAACCCAAGGAGGGGTTGCTATGAGTTGGGTCCGATTCGATGGCACATAACAACAACAACATATAAAAACTCAAACAAACAAACAAACAAACCTCTCAATGTCGTTGAGTCAGATTCGACTCATAGTGACCCCTCCTCGGGTTTCCAAGGTGGTATCTCTACAGGTAGACTGCCCAGTCTTTCTTCCAAGGAGTGGCTGGTGGGTTTGAACCGCCAGCCTTCTGGTTAGCAGTCAAATGCCTTAAGCACTATGCTTTCAGAGCTCCTCTATCTATCTATCTATCTATCTAACATGTCTGTATACTATCATATCCCTATTAAGGCCAACTTTAAATCACCTGGTATTTTCTGTTTTTCTTAGCTTTTCTAATTATAAATGCTGTTTGCTGTAATTCATTGCTTAGTAAAAGAAATAAATTTTAAATATAATTTAATTTGCATTGTGACAAACACTAGTGCCTTTATTCCTGGTGGTGTCCTTTTTTTTTAATACCTGAACTATAATATAAAAAGCAAATATTTTCTGAAACTATTAATAGGAAGTAACACAACAGTATATTTATTGTATAGCAACACAACATCTAATTACACGGGCTTTAGTTTAACAGTCCTGGAGACAAATGAGAAACTCCATGCTTTAGTGTGATGTGCCACCAGGTGGCCACAGCTTACACTGCAGGGGAAACCTGCCACTCTTTTAAAAAAATAGGTTAACAAAATTACCTGTAGCCAGTTAAATACAACAAGAAAACAATAAAAATTTATAGATACTTCAAGTCCCATGCATACTTGTTTTATAAGCTAGTATTTATTGATCAAGGAGCTCTGGTGGCACATTGGTTAAAGCACTTAGCTGCTAACCAAAAGGTCAGCAGTTCAAACTACAAAGTGCTCCACCAGAAAAAATGAGGCAGTCTGTTTCATAAAGATTTACAGCCTTGGAAACCCAATGGGGCAGTTCTACTCTGTCCTACAGGGTCAGTATAAGTCGGAATTGATTTGATGGCACATTTTTATTTAGTGATCAAAAAAATGTTAAATTTCTCATCACAGTGTATTTTGATTTTAGAATAAATTTGCAATCACAATTTAACAAAATCAAATTTTCTTCAAATTACCATCCATAACTTTAATATTTAAAATTTTTATTCTATTACGCAGGATATTCTTAGAGATAAAGAGATAAAACTGGAGATAGTATAATACTTATATTTAAAAGTTACAAATCAAATATCTATTAATGATCAATTTTTTCCGCTATATTTTGACATATTCTTCCTTGATGTACCACCCAAATCAAAACTGGGTACTTTATATTTATGCTTATATATTTGTAATAGGAATTGTGACAACTAACTGTCACTACACTGGACTGATAAAAAATGCCAGAAATTTTAGATCAAGCACACTTTTTCCATCATAGCTTTTAAGTAATTGTGATGCCAATTAATTTTAATAAACATTTCACAAATACATATTCAGTTACTTAAGTAGTCAGCCAAAGGCATATTCCCATATAAACTGCTAATTAAGAGAAACAAATAAATGGAAATATGCTCATTTTCTGGGTCATTTCTTTATGTACTACATATTACATAAAAAAAACATATGGATATAATTCTATAACTGGATGGTAGAAGACTACTTACCTGTTATTAAAAAGAATACACAAAGCACACAAAAATCCCATTCCAGCTTGAAATTTTAATCTCTTAACAAATCAAGTCTTTTGTCAGAACTACCAAAAATAAGCAACATTAAAACTTCAATAGTCTTTGATTTTAGTATTAGCTTTGCCAGTAGTTGGTTTCTGTGTGCTTTGCCTCTTTGGACCTCAATTTCCTCATCTAAAATGCATAAGCTAAATTATTTCTAAGGTTCTGTTGTCCAGCTCAAATTCTATGATTCTATTAAACATCCAAAAGCCATCTAACAGAAAAGAGAGGAAAACACCAGGGCTCTAAATACTGCTCAAAAAGGGTAAGGTTCTCTTGCTCATGCCTAAAAGGTGAACAGTATATGTTCTTTTCACAAGGAAAATGAAAGGTTCCTCAAGTTCTAGAATATTTACAGGCATAGAGATCAGAATGAATGGGTCCTGAGATGTTAACAGAGATTACCATATGATACCTTATTAAAGAGTGATGAGAGTAGAAGGGAAATATGGGAATGTAAGAAGTAAACCCTAAGATGATTTCCTACTCAAAACCTGCTTTTTTAGAACAAGTCTTAAATAGTTTTCCAGAATTAAGAATAGCATATGACCTGAATATCTCTTTGAAGTTCTCTTTAAACTCATGATTTTAAGAACTTTTAAATATTTTCCTATCATGATCAATTTTAAAAAAATTACTTCATAAGAATTCCTTTTATAAATGAAAGAACAAAGCTGTGAGGTCAGCTCAATCATAGGTATACTCAGAAATAGAGGGGGGAAAAAGTCAATATAATGGAAAAAGGGATGATACAGGGAAAAGACTTTAGCTTTGCAGTAAAATAAACTGGCTTTGAGTCTGGGCTCTATCTGACTCAACTGCTCAGACTGGGTCTACCATTCAATAGCTCACTGACATTTGGAAAATTGCTTTGTGTCACTGAGCTTAGTTTCTTTATGTGTAAATGCAGTGAATTGTTTGATGTGGCCCTTCTAGCCATTGTCCTCCATTCTGTGGTGTTTTGTAAATCCCATTATCCATGCCTGTTTGGGGTGGTGTGGTAGTTAAGGTCAGGTTATCAACTTGGCTGGGCAGCTGGTAGTAGTCATTCCCTATAATGACTGGCAATCGACTCTGTTATGGGATTTAGGTTAATTCTGTTGGGGCAACACAGATGGGATGTGTCTTGAGTCCTGCCTTGCTGGAGGGTATAATTCAAATCACCACCCTTAGCTTCCCTGAGGGTATACCTACGAAGATTGAAGATTCACTCTCCTCTTGCTCCGGCTTTGTTTTGGATCATCCTCATCTCACCCCTGGATTTGGGGGCAACAGCCACCGTCTGATCTGCTGATCGAGGTTCATCAAACCCCGAGAGTTGGGAGGATCCGCCACACCTACTCACGGACCTGGGACTCACCAGCCTGCCAGCCTCCACCACTACTACGTGAGACGAACCCTTGGGTGTCTGTGAGTTCTGTGAGGCGTTATAGCGAAATACAGAACCCTAAGACTGGGGAAATTACCGGGAGGAGGAGGAGAAGTTAATGTCTGAAATGATGGAGTGGCATGGTAGTTTGGACCTTTGGAACATCTTTGACCTCCACCTCATGGGGACCGGCCTCGTGCTGAGCTTTCTAAGAGAAATTGTTCAAGTAGTAAAGTAAGGATAGACATATTTACTTCACTGAGTTTCACTAAGGATAAAGTGAGAATATATAGAAATATGCTCCAAAAACACTAAAAAACTATATTCATTACCTGTTATTAATAAGACTAAGGGAGCTCTGGTGGTGTAGTGCCTAACGCATTTGACTACTAACCAGAAGTGTGGTAGTTCCAACCCACAAACCACACCTTGGAAGGAAAACTGGGCAATCTACTTCTATAGAGATACCACCTCGGAAACCCAAGGAGAGGTTGCTAGGAGTCCAATCGACTCAAAGGCAGTGAGTTTTTTTTTTTTTTTCCCCTAATAAGAAACTAAACAGGACATATGGGAACTAATTCCGTAACCTGCTTTCAGTAAAGCTGAATTCTAACCAACTGTAGCCTCAGATACATAAATGTGTAACAACAAAAGATAAGTTTTAAAAAATATAAACAAGAAGTAGATAACAAGTCTATGCTCTTTAAAAAAAAAAGTGTTCAGAATAATACTCACATTCTGCCAAACTTCCCATAAAAGGTATCCCTATTCCATCTTTGGAGTAACTGAGGAATTAAAGAGGAGAGTATTAATGTAATTTACCAAAGTGAAAAAATTAATCATAATCAAAGCAAGCATAATTTTGGTAGACTAATTAGGATTAATTAGACGTAATGATGAACACAGTTTTAGTGGTTTTGAGTTACCTGGAGAAATGAATGTAATTAGCTAAAGCTGAACCAGCTTGTAACAGCAATGCAGTTGTCAGAACCTTTAAAATCATGTGCATGGGTCCTCCTTTCTTAATAGCCTGCCACAATGATTGAGCATAAATGCAAGCAATCACAAAGTACACTAGGACTAGGAGGAAAAAGAACTCATGTAACCCTGTGAAGAGAAGAAAGGGAGTTTGCTTCAGTAAAACAAAGCCAGTTATAGTGTTGGGTTGTTTTCAAATCTTTTCACTTTTGTAACAGAAAAAAAAAGTATGGGGAATTATTAAGACAAAAACAATTTTCTACTTTGGGAGAAAGTGGTTGTAACCATAACAAAGTAAATTATAGTATATTAGTTAAGCTCAATCTGTGAAAAAGTCAGGAAACAAGTCTAAAACTTGTCATAAAACCATAGTTTTATTCAAAGAGTCACTGAAAGCAATGGTTTCAACACTCAGTTAGATATATTTTTTACCCTCAGAGTGGATTTCTTTTAAAAGAAGTTTAGAAACAGATTTAATTAGCCAGGAATAGTTTAAAATCCCTTGACAGTGGTTCTCAAAGTTTGGTGTCTGAGCCAGCAGCATCACTAGGAAACTTACTAGAACCGCAACTTGCTGTCTCCACACTAAATCAGAAACTCTGAAAGTGGGAGCCTGGCAAGGCAATCTGTGTTTTTACAAGCTCTTTAGGTTTGCAGCTGAAGTGTGAAAAACACTGAATGTCTTATGACTTTCCATTTGAACCAAACTTCAAAGTACTTTTCATGTTCAGAGGTAAAATGCCTATGGCTCTTGACAAAGACATATATATGAAGACCATGTGGGTCCACTCCATAGCTCAAAGTATAGCACCAAAAACCAACCAATTCAAAGACTGGCCATAAACCAACAATATAACGTGTCTCAAAGATAAGTTACCAGTTGTCCCTGAGTTAACTCTAAATTGACCTACGGTGACTCCATGTGTGATACAGTACAACTCTGCTCTATAGGGTTTCCAATGGCTGATTTTTTAGAAGTAGATTGCCAGGCCTTTGTCCCAAAGCACCTCTGGGTGAACTCAAACTTCTGGCCTTTTTAGTGCATTAACCATCTGTACCACCCAGGGACTCCAAAGACAAGGTTAATAATATTCTCTTGGATATTCCAAATACAAAACATGAAAAGAAGTGTTGTTGTTGTTGTGTGCTGTTGAGTCAGACCCGACTCATAACAACCCCTCCTTGGGTTTCTGAGGCAGTATCACTACGGAAGTAGATTGCCCCATCTTCGTTCTGAGGAGTGGCTGGTGGGTTTGAACCGCCACCCTTCTGGTTAGCAGTCAAGTGCCTTAGCCACTATACTACCAGAGCTCCTTGGAAAAAAGAAGTAGGCAACAGAAATTGAAGCTGAAAGGTTGGGACAAGCCAGAGAAGTCAAACTAAGGCATGTTGAAGACAATGTATTGAATTAGTAGAAATTATGAACATGCAAAGGGAGCTGGCTGGTAAAAAGAAAAATAAATATCCAGATATTAAAAACGTCATGGGGAAAAACATGGACGCTGGCCATTACAGGGGCCTCTAGTTTCTACTAGCAGCTTTTCAGTGCAGTTTTCATATATCCTCATGATGTTGTTGCTGTTGTTGTTGGGTGCCGTCGAGTCGTCTCCGACTCATAGCGACCCTATGAACAGCAGAACGAAACACCACCTGGTCCTGAGCCAGTTCCATGATTCTGGCTATATTTGACCCCATCACCTCTGTTATTGTGTCAATCCAACTAATTGAGGGCCTTCCCCTCTTTCATCGACCCTCCACCTTACCAAGCAGGAATAGTCCCTTCTGACAACATAACCAAAGTATGTGAGACGAAGTCTGGCCATTTTCGCCTCCAAGGAGCATTCTGGCTGCACTTCCTCCAGGAGAGACCTGTTAGTTCTCTTAGCAGTCCACGGTACTTTCAGCATTCTTCACCAACACCACAACTCAAAAGCATCGATTCTTCTTCGGTCTTCCTTATTTACTGTCCTGCTCACCCATGCATATGAGGCAAGTGAAAATATCATGGCTTGTGTTAGGCATACCTTTGTCCTCAAGGAGATATCTGTGCTCTTTAGCACTTGAAAGAGATCATTTGCAGGTGATTTGCCCAGTGCTTTACGTCATCTGATGTCCTGACTGCTTCATCCACTGGTGTCCATTATAGAACCAAGCAATGTGAAGTCTTTGACAATTTCAATCTTTTCTCCATTTATTGTAATGCTGTTTATAGGTCCAGTTGTGAGGACTTTTTTTTTTTTATATTGACATGTAATCCATACTGCAGACTGTATTCTTCAATCTTCATTAGTAAGTGCTTCAAGTCATCCTCATTTTCAGCAAGCAAAGTTGTGTCATCAGCGTATCGCAGGTTGTTCATGATTCTTCCTCCAATCCTGATGCCACATTCTTTTTCATATAGTCCAGCTTCTCGGATTATTTGCTCAGCATACAGACTGAATAAGTATGGTGAAAGGATACAACCCTGACACACTCCCTTCTTGATTTTAAACCATACAGTGTCCCCTTGTTCTATTCGAATGACAGCCTCATGGTCTATGTACAGAACCCTACGAGTACAATTAATTGTTCTGGAATTCCCATCCTTCTCAATGTTATCCACAATTTATTATGATCAAATGCTTTTGCATAGTCAATAAAACAGAAGTAAACATCTCTATGCTATTCTTTGCTTTGAGCCAGGATCCATCTGACATCAGCAATGATATCCCTCGTTCCACATCCTCTTCTGAATCCAGCTTGCATTTCTGGAATTCCCTGTCAATAAACTGCTGCAACGTTTTTTAATTATCTCCAGTTAAGATCTTACTTGCATGTGATATTAATGATATTGTTTGATAATTCCCACATTCTGTGGGATTACCTTTCTTTGGAATGGGTACAAATACGGATCTCCCTGGATAGAGAGGGAGAACAATGTGGAACAAAACTCAAAATCATTTGGAGGGAAAAAAAAAAAAAGATGGTTGGGACCAGTTTTGCTAGTCCAATAGAGCCTGGTGGAACCACTGAGACTATGGCACATAGCTGCCCTTCAGGTCTGGAATTGAACCCACACCTGTGGTTTCCAGCCAAACAAAATACAGGCATATGAGTTAAACATTTACCTCAAGTAGACACACGCCCTGGAGAGAACAATCATGGGAGAAAGAAGGGCTGCTTATGCACAGGGAGACAGCTCAGGGGGCAGGAGAGTATGGAGGGATGGACACTGGGAAGTGGTAACTATGGGGAGGAAGTGGGAGGGGAGCTGTTGCATTGTGGTAAACTGTGGTCAATGACATGAGACAAAGTATATGTGAACTGCTGTATGGAAAGTGAATTTGCTCTGTAAATCTTCACCCAAATCACAATAGATATAAATAATTAATTAATTAATTAAAACAAATATGGATCTCTTCCAGTCAGTTGGCCAAGTAGCTGTCTTCCAAATCTCTTGGCATAACTGAGTGACTGCCTCCAGCAGGGCATCCGTTTGTTGAAACATCTCAATGGGTATTCTGTCGATGCCTGGAGCCTTGTTCTTTGCCAATTCTTTCAGTGCAGCTTCAACTTCTTCCTTCAGTACCATTGGTTCCTGAACATATGCCACTTCGTGAAATGAATGAAGATCTACCAGTTCTGTTTGGTACAATGACTCTGTGTATTCCTTCCATCTTCTTTTGATGTTTCCTGCATCATTCAATATTTGGCCCATAGAATCTTTCAATATTGCAACTCAAGGCTTAAATTTTTTCCTCAGTTCTTTCAGCTTGAGAAATGCCACGCATGTTGTTCCCTTTTGGTTTTCTAACTCTAGGTCTCTGCACATTTTATTATAGTAATTGGCATTGTCTGCTCAAGCTGCTCTTTGAAATCTTCAGTTCAGCTCTTTTATCTTGTCATTTCTTCCATTTGCTTTAGCTACTCTTCACTCAAGGGCAAGTTTCAGAGCCTTTTCTGACATCCATTTTGGTCTTTTCTTTCTTTCTCATCTTTTTAATGATGTCTTGCTTTCTTCATGGATGATGCTCTTGATGTCATCCCACAATTCTTCTGTTTTCAGTCATTGGTGTTCAATGCATCAAATCTATTCTTTAGATGGTGTCTAAATTCAGGAGGGATAGATTCAAGGTCATATGTCAGCTCTTGTGGGCTTGTTTTAATTGTCTTCAACTTCCAGTCGAACTTGCAAATGAGCAGTTGATGGTCTGTTCCACAATCAGCTCCTGGCCTTGTTTCAGCTGAAGATATTGAGCTTTTCCATCTCCTCTCGCCACAGATGTAGTCAATCTGATTCCTGTGTACTTTGTCTGGTGAAGTTCACGTGTATAGCTGCTGTTTGTGTTGTTATAAAAAGGTATTTGCAATGAGTAAGTCGTTGGCCTTGCAAAATTCTATCATGCAATCTCCAGTGTTATTTCTGTCACCAAGGCCAAATTTTCCAACTACCAGTGATTCTTCTTTGTTTCCAACTTTTGCATTCCAATCACCAGTGATAAGCAACACATCTTGATTGCATGTTTGGTCAATTTCAGACTGCAGAAGTTGATAAAAATCTTCAATTTCCTCATCTTTGCCAAAAGTTTGGCAGTTCAAAACCACCAGCCACTCCACAGAAGAAAGATGTGGCAGTCAGTTTCTGTAAAGATTACAGCCTTAGAAACCTTATGGGACAGCTCTACCCTGTCCTGCAGGGTATTACCCTAGTGACCCACTCAAAAATTTTTGCTTCCTGTCCCTGCTTTGCGGGTCTGGAGATCTTAGTCCCAAAGGGAGGAACACTCCCACCTGGAGACACAATACTGATTGCACTGAACTGGAAATTAAGAATGCCACTCGGCCATTTTGGCTTCCTTATGCCTCTGGATCAACAGACAAAAAAGGGCATTACTGTACTATCTGGTGTGGTAGATCCTGATTACCAAGGGGAAATTGGATTGACATTACATAATGGAGGTAAAGAAGAATATGTCTGGAATACAGGAGATTCTTTAGGACGTCTCTTAGTACTACCATGCCCTGTGATTAAAGTCAATGGAAAATTACAGCAACCCAATTCTGATACGACTGCTAACAGCCCAGACCCTTCAGGAATGAAGGTTTGGGTCACCCCACCAGGCAAAGAACCATGACCAGCTGAGGTGCTT